TCTGCTATGTTGCATTTGCATATCAACCTTGAAATTCTGTTTTGCAATTATTTTACCACTACATGATTGACGGTTTTGTGGGTGGATAAACATCACACACACCCATAAGCAGCGCTTTGCCATCAAGTATATGTTCATTTATATATATATCGTTCCACATATATGCTTTAAGCAGAATGAATTGTGCTGTTCTTGCCAGTTATGCGTTTAACCACTTCAAAAAAATAAAACTCAATAATTTTGAATTTTGCCAATTATGCAAAACTGGTTGGCTAGCTATGGCTGCTCTGCTCTACTTTCGAAAATGCAACATAGCAATTAAAAAAGCTACCCTCCATATTTAACTATTTACATTTTTATTATAATTTATTGCTGTAATATTGGCATAAATGTTGTGCGGCTTCAATATAATAGTTGTTATTGACGTTTAATAAACAAACTGCCAGCGCACACAACAGCTGCTGATGTGCAAGTGCAGACCGATAAAAAGTAGCCAAGGTATGCTAGTACTAGATTTTGAAATATGGTAACTATTTAGTAGTATGCACATTAGGGTGAAGCGAAAAAAATTTGCGTTTCGAAATTCTTATAGCGGGGAATCGTTGCACTTCGACGTCAATAGAATGTCCCGCACTTTTTTTTTTTAAAAATAGATTAAGCTTTCTGCCTCTTTTCTTGACTGAAATTTTGTTTGCAAATTCGAAAGAAATAGTTTAATTACAAACTTTTTAGAAAAAATTCCTAGGTATGCAGTTTTGTAGGTCATTGAACTTAGCATAATAAAGAGCTGGTTTAAAGTGGCTACAAAATCCCGCTCAATTTTGGCAATTTTTTTTATTTGTTGATGGCCTTATTCATCTTGTTCCGTACAAAATAAGTTCGACAATGTGTCTAAATTGAGAAACTGGGCAACACCTTCAAAATTTTTTTTTAAGGGGGCTTCAAACATGCGGATTATTATTCTAGTTATTCTAAAATGTAATGGCCTACAAAACTGCATACCTAGAATTTTTTAAAAATGATTTTTACATATTACGTTATTTGTTTAGAATTTATAAAAATCTCAAATTCTCAATCAAAAAGGGGAGGCAGAAAATTTTAATCGATTTAAAAAAAATTAAGGGGAAATCTACTGATTTACAAAGGAAACGATCCCCCGCTATAAGAATTTCGAAATGCAATTTTTTTTTTGTTTTCGCTCCACCCTAATGCACATATAATAGGCATTTATGTATATTTATAATAAAATATATGTCGATTTGTACGACGCTTCAACTGAGTTACATTCCTTTGCCGTGGATTGCTTAGTTAGCTACTTTAAATACTAGTCTTAAGCTGCTGGAAATTTGCAATAAGTAGTTTAATGAGCAGCCGCTGCTTTGCTTTAAGCAAGTTCTTATAAACTTTAATTGCCATTAAAATACCAGTCGAAAGATGTTTTCTCCTCTGCCATCAAGAATTAGATATGTATTTATGTATTCTACCAGCTTATCGCTTTGTTACCTGCCAACCTTTTGGCTTCACTGTAAATTTTATTCGTTATATCTGTTGACAACTGCCGGCAAGCTGTCAACCACCCCGCTCGATTGAACTTGTGGCAATTCAGAGCAGCGCTGTAAATTAGATGACAAGCCATAGCTGACCACTAAGCATGAAAATGATTTCTATTGGCTATTTAACACTGAATTATTGCACTTCAAGTGAAGTATGCAAAGAATTTATGTGACAAATTGCGTCATAAGATATTTCTTATAAAAAAGTAAGTAAAGGCGTTTAAAGAATAAAATCGAGGGTAATCAATAACTATTTTTAAAAAATTTAATTTAATTAATTAATAGTTTAAATACAATATTACAACAATGTGGGTACACGAATGAAAGAAGCTAAAAGCATGAATTTCGCAAATATTTTTTTAAGAAGGTTGCCACTTGTTTCTAAAAAATTAAAGACACTTTTATTGCCTAGTTAAAACAAATATTTTAAAATGGCTATCAAACGAGAGAAAGACAGAAAACTTTATTTTGAAAATGGTTTTAAAGTGAGTTGCCACCTGTTTACACATTTAAACATTCGAAGTCAATTTAATTAATAAGTTAGACGAAATATTTTAAAATGGGTATCAAACGAGGCAGGTTTGAGAAAGATTTATTTTGAAAATACTTTTGAATAGAGCTGCCACTTGTTCGAAATCAGTTTAATTAATAAGCTAAACGAAAACATTTAATATGGGTACAAAACGTGAGAGGGTTAAGAAAGCTTAATTTCAAAAAATAGTTTTGAAGAGCGTTGCCACCTGTTAAGAAATTCGCAATCAATTTAATTAATAAGCTTAACGCAATATCTTTATATGGGTATTAAACGAGCAAGGTTTAAAGAGCTTAGTTTCAAAAATATATCTGAATAGGGTTACCCCTGCTCAAATATTAAGATCTATTTAATTAAAAATTTATTTGAAACAATTCAATAAATGTACTAAGGTGATTGACTAGGTTTTCCCAAACCGATTTGAGCTGGTTTTTCTTCAAAATTTTTGGGCTTTTGTTTTTTGAAGTCGTGATTGTTCGAATATCGAATAGATCAGAGGTTATCGAATTCATCGGGTTTTTCAACTAGAAATAACTTCATTATGATAACTAAAATTTTTTGTTTTGTTGAAATCACAAACATAATATACATACCAATCTTGCTTAATTGCTCGACATCAACTACAGCAAATTTCGTGTGGCTGATTTAATTAAAATTATTGAAAACTTGGAGATATTTCAGCAAAGAATTAAATTACAATACACAAATCCGTCATATCATGTACGTGCTTTTTCATATCATACATATATCAGATTGAAAAAATTATACTCAAGAATTAAATGATCAAGCCCGCTGGGGTTATATGAAACCAAAAAAAAGTTTCAAAATTAAAATAATATCAAACAAAAGTTACGAGCATCATTGACCTTAGACATATGTAAATACGATAACTTAGCTGGCATAAAAACCATATATTTTAAAAGACAGCAACAGGTTTGCTGGTGACATAGATATGCATGCATATAATACGTAAATACATATATACATATATAAGTGAATAATACTCCGCAAATCTAAGAGTGGTCAAACATTATAATATATGTGTATGTATATGTACATATATGCCAATTAATGAAGATAATAAGTACTTATAAAAGTATTAACACCACTCGAATATTGAGGCGGCACCCAAAATGCCAAAGCCATTCAAACGCATGACACCAAACTGAAATTGAAACGCATCAGGTGGCACTGCGCTAAGTTTTCAGCACAAACGTACATACATACATATGTAAATGTTCGTTGCTGCATGTGAAACCTAATAATTATTGACGCTTAGCCATTTGGTCATTTGTTTGTATGAATGTAAATATGTATGCATGGCATTTGCATTTTTCAGGGAGGAAACTTTTTATTTTGAATAAAAATATTCTTTATGGCCTGCAGAAAAGCATTAGCTATGTGTGTATGTATAAAGGCCTCTGCATGACATGTTCAATTGACGAGTATAATTATGTATAATGCTGACTAAACACGAGGCAACCGTTGAAGCAATCAGGGCATGTTGGCATAGTTGGTCATTGAAATTCGTGTTGCCGCAATCGTCGCCCGAAAATCAAAATATTTTGATATTTTGTGCTGGTTGGCGTATCGGAAAGTATGGTTGCCAGCTAAATGAAAATTTAAATATACAATTTTTTAGCTCTCTCAGTACAAAAAATCAGCCGCTGAAGCTAAAAATCTGAGAATAGGTTTCAAACCTAATTTTGGGTCATACATTTCAAAAATACATATTCTATAAAATTCTCAGTTTTACTCGTATTCTAGATTTGTAAACAGGGAAGTGATATTAATAATTTTTATTTACGAGATATATATGTATTTCAAAACTGCGAATAACATTGAACATCTTTTTTTTCCGATCTCAATTCCACCGAAAAGTAGTAAATTTGTTCCTAAATATTACACAATTCAATATCGACTTTTGTGACACTTTTCACTTTTGTGAAAAATCACGGTCAACTGCATCCCGAAATACAGTAAAAGAAATGCGGTAAATAATAATAATACTTTTCTTACAACAACTACAATTTTAAAAATAAAAACTCTTAATTAAGAAAAAAAATACAAAAAAAAGTTTGTCCAATATATTTGACAATTGTACTGAAAGGGTTAAGGTATAAATACCAAAAGATTTCTAAAAAGTTACAACAAAGGCATTATTATATTAAAATAATCTGTGAAGCTCGTCGTAAGGGAATACTTTAATGTTAGGAACTACACAATAACGAGGTGATATAAACGCTGGGTATTTAAATTTAACTGACCTGCAGTAAGAATATTCACAAGCGTCTCTATGAACTTTCAGTTTATACAGGCAGTAAAATAGTATACTAACGTGGAGCTCTGTAGATATGTAAGTTAAAAAATTCATAAATGCATTTTTACATACATACCTATATGTGTATGTACACATAAGTAGAGCAATGTTGAGCGAAGCAGCAATAATTGGCGATGTACACACAAGAACTGCATTTAAGCTAAGTAACAAATAAGGACAAGCAAAGAGCAACTAGTTAATTAAAAATCCATATGTTTTTGTCCCAGCAAAAAGGTAAGTGTAAATAATTTTGAATAATGTTTTTGTGCTAAATTTGTTGGTAGATGGAAAATTATGAAATTGAGTTCATTGTCGCTATATTACACCTGCCATGCATTGGTGTAAATTGCTGGCTGCACAAAATTTCAACTACGAAATAAACATCGCCCATCATTGCTGCTTCGCTCAACGCTGCTCTACTTACAGACATAAATAGCTGCGTTAACACTTTTCCATGGCGTTCAGTTGAACTGCTGAAATTTCGCTTGCATTTAATTTCCATTTTCGACCTGTATAAAAGCGGTTGCGAATGCGGAAATCACCAGTCTAGCAATTCTTTCATACAGAGAACATCCAGTAATTAACTGATTAGAAAATGAATTCTCTCATCAGCTTCGTCGTGTTCGTAGTTATCGCGGTTGTCGGTGTAAACAGCGCAAGGACTGATAGTAAAGAAGGCATGGTGTCCTCATCCTATGGTGGTGGCTATAGCAGTGGATCTTCCTCATCTTATTCTGCCCCAGCTCCAGCTGCAGCGCCATCCTGTGGTGATTCTTCGTCATCCTACTCAGCACCAGCCCCAGCACCAGCGGCAGCGCCATCTTATGGTGGTTCTTCCTCATCCTACTCAGCACCTGCCGGCCCAGCTGCCCCATCATACGGTGGAGGCTCGTCCTCATCTTCCTCATCTTACTCAGCACCTGCTGCCCCATCATACGGTGGTGG